ATAGTCATTCTCTTGTATTGTGTTGTAAAATTTTGAGACTGTCTTTCTGGAACTCAAAATTCCCCACAAAAAAAATTTTTTTAAAGTAATATAAGAAGGGCACTCTGGTTCCCACACATGTCCACAAGAGCTTATTTAGCACATTTGAAAAGCACATTAGGGTACATGGGACCCACCCACACTGTGGTGCTTCTGGAGGGAAAAATGCCTTCCTGAGCCCACAGGGGTGTGAGAAGCCCTGATCTCTTCCTTCCCTCTTCCATGACCCAGGTGAAGAGGCTCCCAGCCCCCATCCCTTCCTCCTCCAGGGAAAGAGAAAAAAATGTGCAGCCCTGTGTTTTATGCATATGTGACTACTATAAAATTAGGAAACATGAAGGACTCTAGGGGATAAATGCTTGAACCTCAGGAATGGGAGGGGGCAGGAAATCCTGGGATGATTGGGAGCATGAGGGTAGGGGAGAGGGATCTGCCAGAATGAGAGCAGGACAAGAGCAAAGGAGAGGAGGAAATGGAGGAGCAGAAATATTGAGTTGGGGGAAGAATGGAGGAGAGCAGGATGAGAGATACCATATTACAGGGAACCATTATAGGTCCAAGGAGAGGTCTGGCACTAGGGAGATTTCCAGAGACCTACAAGGATGATAGGAACTGACAATCCAGGCAATGGTGGAGAGGATAACCTAAGTGCCCTTCCCCTAAAATGAGATTGATGACTACTGTTTATGCCATCCTAGAGCCCTAATCCAGTGGCTGATGGAAGCAGAGGCAGACATCCACAGATATACACTGAACTGAACTCTGGAACTTTGTTGCAAAGAGGGAGGAATGAAGATCGAAGGGGTCTGTACCAGGTTGGAGAAACCCACAGAAACAGTTGGTCTGAACAAGGGGGAGCACACGGACCCCAGATGCTGTCTGGGCGGCCAGTACAGGACTGATCCAGACCCCTGAACATGGATGTCAATGAGGAGGCCCCTGCACTCCAGGGGGCCCCTAGTAGTGGATTAGTGTTTTTCCCTGTTATAGGAGGGGCCTTTGAGAGCCCATCCCACGTGAAGGGATGCACTCTTGCCCTGGACATGGGGAAGGGCCTGGGCCCAGCCCAGGATGATGTGGTGGACCTCACAGACCTCCCATTGAGGGCCCTACCCTGCCTGGAGAGTGGAGGGTGGATGGGGTAGGGGTAGGTCAGGTGGAGTAGGAGGGGTAGGGGTGAGGGGAGGGAAAGGGAGAAGGGATTGACATGCGAAACAAGCTTGTTCCTGATTTGAACTAATTAAAAAAAATAAGATATGAAACAATTAAAAAAAAAAAAAAGTACAGCCCAGCAGCAGTTGCTCCTGGCATGCAATCAAGGAAGCAGCTCTGCTTCTATGAGGGAGGACCACAGAGGACAGGCAGAAGCTATGGCAAGAATCAAGCAGGGCAGGGCTGATGTGTAACCCAGTGAGACTACTGGAGGCAGAGGCAGGATGAGGAAATGCTCTCTGTTTGTACTGTCACAGCCACCACCAGGAGAAATGCTCTCTGTTTGCACTGTCACAGCCACCACCAGA